GAAGGCTAAGGCAGGTGGATCTCCACGAGTTCAAGACTAGCTTGGGCTACACAGTAAGTTCAAGGCCAGACTAAAATATATAGTGAAATCCCATCTCAAAAAAACATAAAAAGAAAGAAAATATTAAAGTCCAGTTACAATGTGGAGAAACTAGACCTCATATTTTTTGTAGGAACCCAGAATAATACCACCATTCTGGGAAATGGTATTATATCATATTGGAAAGTGTGCACTCAAACAAGCAATTACTGCACAGAACAAAATCTTATGTCACAAAAATACCTGTATACAAATTTGCACCGCAGTTGTATTTGTTATAGCCAAAAATAGAATCAACCCAGATATCCTGTCAGATATTATTCAGAAATTAAAGGAAATGAATTATCAATCATACAAAACTGTTGTTGTGCTTGGTTAAAATTCAGTCTCAAAAAATTACATGTACAATGGTATGAAAAGGTAGGCATTAAGTAACAAGCATACTCGCATATCTGAATTTTCTTCCTTTTCAGCATAGCAATATAACATAGAAATAAAACATTCTGATAATGGGCTCTGGCAGTGAATTCTACCTCCTACTTTTGTACTACTGAGGGTACCTAGGTGAAATTCTACAATGAACTGAGTTGATAAGCTATGATATTTACTAGGTGAAATATATTAGGCACATTTTTACTTTATGATACATTTAATTTATGAGTTTACTGGAACTACCAAGAAGGGTCTGCAGAATTATAGTAAGAAATGAGGATAACAAGAAACTATAATTTGAAAACTATATGAGCAATGCATTATAGGACTTAAAGTAGATGTAGAAATAAAAATATAAAACTAGCAATGCAAACAGCAAGAGAAGCAGTACATGAAGAAAAAGCTTAAGTTTCTGTCATTATCAAAGAAGTGGTAAAAGAAATATTTATTTTAGAGTAAAATAAGTAAAGGACTCATTGAAATCTCTAAGGTTACTCCTCAGAAAGAGTGATAAAATGCATATTAACTCCATGTAATGAAGATATGATAATAAAAAATTCAAGTTAAAACCCAGGAAATGCAGCACCCAATATAAAACTGTCTGACTGATTTTTTGAAATATGTGTTTAAAAGAACATAGAGATGTTGGTAATAAAATAATGAGAAGGATATGCCATGAAAATACTAACTAAAAATAGCTGCGACAGCTATTTTTTAATGTATATTTCAAGATACACTACTAAAGAAAAAAAAACAGACTATGACAAAAGACATATATGGAAGACAAAATAATTCTAAATCTGTACATGCCTAACAAATTAGCCTCAAAACATAAAACTTATTATTATGAAAAAAGAATTACCATCATAGTTAGATTTTATAATTTCGCTCAACTTCCATTAGAGTAGTAAAAGGGAAATATTAATTTATAGACCTAACACAATTGATAATCTTGGTCCAAATCACATACACAGAACATGACATCCCAAAAGACATAAATTCATGTGTTGTGCACATTTATCAAATTGTCTATGCACTGGATCATAAAACAAGTATCAACAAATGTCAAGAATGTGAAGTTACATTAGACTATGATTTCTCACTGAGAGAGAAATTATGGAAATTAACAACTTTCACAACAGCATACAAAAAAATGAAATACCTAGGAATCAACCTAACAAAAGATGCAAAAGATTTATACATTTAAAACTACAGTACTGTGAAAAAGGGGACTGAAGGAAATATCAGAAAATGGAAAGATATCTCTCGCTCATGGATAGGAAGAACCAACATTGTGAAAATGGCCATATACCCAAAATTGTTAAACAGATTTAATGCAATCCAATCAAACACCATTAACATGCTTCACAGATAAGGATTAAACATGCTTAAAGTTCATCTGGAAATGGAAGAGACTTAAAATAGCAAAAGTAATTCCAGGCAACAAAGGGAAGGCAAGAGGCACTGCAATCCCTGACTTGAAATTACACTACAAAACTACTGTGAAAAAATCAGTATGGCACTGCCCCCCAACCCAAAAACAAACAAAAAACCAGACATGACAATAAGCAGGACAGATTAGAAGATGCAAATGCAACCACAAAGATACTCAGTCACCTTATCTTTGACCAGAGTCATAGGAAGATAGCTTCTTTAATAAGTTGTGCTGAAAAAGTTGGCTTTCCACATGCTGAAGACTAAACCTAGACCCATTATCACCATGCACTAAACCAAAATCAAAATGGATCAGAGATCTAAATATTAAAACAGAAACATTAAGTCTAATGGAACACAAAGTAGACAGAAATTTTAAAGACATAGGGGTAGGCAGAGTTCAACAACTGGGATCTCATCTTATTGAAAAGATTTTGCAAAAAAAAATTGTTTTGCACATGAAGAAAAATCACCAACAGAGTTGAAAGGAAAATATTTTAGCCAACTGTCCCTCAGATAAAGGAGTTCTATCTAGAACATATAAAGAACTGAAAAACATCAGGACCGCCAAATTCAAAGACCTAGTCCAGAACTGGCTGACTGAGATGAACATGCATTTCCTACATAAAGTAGTAAAAACGGCAAATAAATATATGAAGAAATGTTCAACAATATTGGTCATTCAAGAAATGCAAATTAAAACAACAATGAAATTCCATCTCACTCCAGAAAGAATGCCTGTCATCAAGAAATCAATCAATAACAAATGTTGGTGGGGCTGTGGAGGAAAAAGAAACACTTCTCCACTGCTGGTGGGAGAGTAAGCTTGTACAACCACTATGGAAATGAGTGTGGAGACTCCTTTAAAAACTAGGATTGGGAGTCTCATTAAAATCAGCTATTCCTCTTCTGAGTATTTTCCCAGGAGAAACCATCATGGCACGGCAACATATGTGCACCCATGCTTACAGCAGTACAATTTGTAATAGCTAGATCTTGGAAATAATCCAAATGTCCATCACCCACAGAATGGATAAAAAAGATGTTGTATTTTTGTACAATAGAGTACATGCCTAACAAATTAGCCTCAAAACATAAAACTTATTATTATGAAAAAAAGAAATAGTCAAATTACCATCATAGTTAGACTTTATAATTTCGTTCAACTTCCATTAGAGTAGTAAAAGGGAAATATTAATATATAGACCTAACACAATTGATAATCTTGGTCCAAATCACATACACAGAACATGAAATCCCAAAAGACATAAATTCATTGTAAATTCATTGTACAATTACTCAGCTATAAATAAAGATAAACTTGAGGCTTTTATAGGTAAACGGATGCAACTTGAGACCATACTCATAAATGAAATAAATCAGACTCACATGTGTAAATATTGTATTGTCTCCCTAGTGTAAAAAAAAACTGACAGAGTAAAGAAGATTCAAAATGTACAGTAGACATTGTGAAAATGAAAGAGAAAGAAATTTCTCAAAGGGAAAAAAAATTGGGATGGGGGAAAGGAGAGAAGAAAGAAGGGAAAAGGTTATATGCATATATATGCACATATATACATGTATGTATGTAAGAGATAACTACACTATTAATGTCTGTTAGTTCATCAAAAAGAACAGTTTTTCCTTGTTTATTCATTTTTTGCATGCCTATATCTTGTAATCTGAACAAGTTTTAAAATAACAATATGCAATATATTAAATAGTGTTATTTTCCTATTATTTTGTTTTGAAATTTTCTACCTTTTTTTTGGGGGGGGGGCGGGGATAGATTTCCCAACCCTGCACTTGTCAGTTTTTTAAATAAAAAAATAGTATACGAACTGTGGACTAAATCTAAAATAAAGTAGGTCTAGTCTAAAGAAAGAAATGCTATCTAGTTTTAGCAAATGTCTAAAAATATAAATTCCCATCCTCATGAAAAGTACTGGATACAAAAAATTATCCTGATGCTGTATTCTAAAATATTTCTAAAATAAAATCATGATTAATACTCATGAATATTACTCACCATACTTGAAACTAATGATATAGATCATACTATGTATATAAAAAGAGAAGGAAAAACTAGAAATGTGTTATGTCTTATGTATGAAGGCACTAATCTCATCAACCAATTAAATGATTAATAAATGCATGGTCAAATAGTGTATTAGAAGGTGGTGCCCAGTTGGAAAAACAGGCCACTGTGATTTGCTTTCTAGGGTACATCCTTTCTCTGGCTCCTTCCTTCTTTCTACTATTCACTGATCTGGATAAATTTACTTCTCACAGGTTTCCCTCCCTGTCATTAATATAGAACTGTCTTGTGATGTTCATTCCCAGGCACAGCAAAGTGTTTCATCATTTACCAACTAATAAATAAGCATCAGACTCTTTTATAGTTAAAGTACAACTTTTACTTTGTGTCTTTATACTAGTTAAGCAGATGTGCATTATACTCTAGATCTGACTGAATCCAATATTAAAGACATTAAAAAGTTTGTTATAAATAAAATCTAATAATTTACCCATATGTATTGAAATAATTTCCTCTTTTGACTATTAATACTTAACTTTACAGTGGATAAATTTGAATTCTGATCAAATTACTGGATTGTCATTGACCTCATTCATCTTAGACATTTAGTGGTGCTCTAAAGTTAGAACCAAATTTTGAATATCTGAAACTTTTTCAGTATTTTTTAAATGTAAAAATGTATTTAAGCAAAAGGAAAGGTTTAAAGCATAGAAAGAAACAAACACGATACAAGGTATAGAAATATGTTTATTGAACACTTGACCTTTAAATTTCAGATCTGGGTTTTTAGTAACATGGTCCAGAGAACCATAGCATAATATGTTAAGCATAATATATTATTGCTTAAATGTTGATTTAAAGTTAGGAAAAGGCAAGGAGGTATTCCCCACTAACAGGTAACTTATCAATTATTCATTCCTTAAGAAAAGGAACTATTATAAAAGCAATAATTATTTCTAGCTGTTGAGATAATGAAAAAATTCTGTTAATTAACATAAAATTTGCTCAGTGAGTAATTTCGTTGTACAATAGAACAATTTGATTTATATGTTCTTACCGTTCCCGGTTAAATTTAAGAGAATGAAGGATAGCTGGCCTCTTTTGTCTAAGGTTCCACAAATGAAGTGTATCATCTGAACCTGCACTGACCAAAGCACCCTGTAACAAAAGAAGACAATGTTAGTGTGTTTTACTTTACCTAAGAAAGTAAAATTAGCAAGCTAATTTACTGAATTTTTCATTCCTTAAACAGATATTTGTGTTTATACAATCTAAAAATATAAAGAAGCACAAGTGCATATCCTACAAACAGAAAAGTTAAGAATGCTGAAAGTGGAACAAGCAAGTGACATGTGGCATATGTGTAGTTTGAAAGATTAGGTCAACGAATATCCATTTACTAGCAGAGAGGAATAATTAATTTAACTTCATAGTGACTACTGAAGTTTTGTGTATGTCCTTTAGAAAATCTAAAATTTAAATTTTCATTCTTAACTCTTCACATATATATTATGTACCTTTACACAACAGCGAATATACTACCCAGTTCTACAAATCAAATATAACACATATAACAGTTCTCCTCAGAATTTTCTATTATTTGAAAAAAATACATTTTTACTAAAAATATATATTTGGTTTAATTTAATCTGCTTCTTTAGCCCAAGAAGGTTCACTTAGTATAAACGAAAATTTCTGTAACAAAAGAAAATATATCCCTAACTAGATTTGGTACAATTTTAAAAATAATAGCAATGTTGTTCATCAAGGCATATGGGCAGACAACTAGCTGCCACATGAGAGAGAGAGAGAGAGAGAGAGAGAGAGAGAGAGAGAGAGAGAGATAAATAAATATTTCAGTATTTTATGACCATCTTAAAATATCAGAACTTTTAACAAAATAGTTTTATAGCTGAAAATGCTTTCCCTACATCAGAGTAAAGCTCCAATAGAGTACTGAGCATTATCTAATAAGTAGAACCATGATGACCTTGAATGCTTAAAAATTATTTTGCTATTTTCCAAAGTACTTTGTTACAAATAATCTTTCACAGTTCACAATGATAAGCATAATGAACTTTCTAGCACTTATTTCTTCTTTAGAAATTAGATGAGGGGAGACAGGAATTTAAATTTCTTTCTGAAATGATTCCTAACCTCAAAAGTTCCTGTACCCTATGTTGTTTTTCTTTATATATCTGTGATTTTAGTTTCAGAGAGAATAGATTTAAACAGTTATCCATAAAAATTAAATGTTTGTGTTTTGCATAGTTACATGTAAATAAATAAGCATGTCAAGATGTATGCATTGATACATATTTTAACATAGTTTCATACCATGCAGTTTCATGCTATACCGTAAGATATACCCTATACATGTTGTGAAGTTTCTTCTGTTTGCTTGCATGTTTTACTTGAAAACTGTATACATGCTTCCTATACATAAACTACAGTTATTGGAATTCCTTTAAAATACTTGATGAACCACATTTATAATTTTTTGAGATTAATAAATACTAATCTCATTTCTCAGAGAGATGGAACAACACTTGGTACATGGTGGTATAGAATGTGACCTATAAATTTACTAAAGCATACTTGACAAAATGGGTAACACTCTTGAACTCATAGCCATAGGAAAGGACTTTCTGAACAGTACCCCAGTTGTACAGGAAATAGTAGCAAGCATCAAAATGAGATCTTATCAAATTAAAAAGCTTCTGCAAAACCAGAGACACAATGAGCAGAGTTAAAAGACAACCTACATAATGGGAAAAAATTTTGCCAGCTACTCCTCAGAGGAACAGTACCTAGAATGAAAAACTCAACATCATTAGGCCCCCCAAATAAAAGACCTGATCAAAATATGAGCACTTGAAATGAAGAGACAATACTCAAAAGAAGCACAAATAGCCAAAACATACACGAAGAAATGCTAAACATCACCTGCCTTTAGAGAAATGCAAAGTGAAACAATACTGAAGAGTCCATCTTACCCTAGGAAGAATGAAGAATGGCCATCATGAAGAAATCAAATAGGGGCTGGGGATTTAGCTCGCAGTGTAAGTGCCTGCCTGGCAAGCGCGAGGATGTGAGTTGGATCCCCAGAATTAAAAAAAAAAATCAAATAGTAACAAATGCTGACAAGGCTGCTGGGAAAAAGGAAACTGCTACATAGTTGGTGGGAATATAAAGTAGTACAACCTCTATGGAAATCAATGTGAAGATTCCTCAAAAAACTGAAGCCAGATATCCCAATTGACCCCAATACTGTCCCCTTCTATGTATTTTTCAGAAAGAATTAAAGATATTTTATTGCAGTGATACATGCATATCCATTTTTACACCAGCTCAATTTATAACAGCTAAATCTTGGAATGGTGTATATGCCTATCAACAGATTAAAGGATAAAGAAAAAGTTATAATTAAAACCACAGACTATTACTCTGCTATTAAGAAAGGTAAGTCTCAGTCATTTATAGGAAAATGGGTGCACCTTGAGACCTTCATGTTAAGTGAAATTAATCTGACACACAATTTTAAATATTGCATGGTTTCTCTTATATGAGTAACAACTAAAGAGCAAAATAAAAGACAACAGGAAGTAGAGTGATTTTTCTCAAAGAGGAAGAGATGGAGGGAGGTGGGTGAGAAAAGAGAGACTGGGGATGAAAATAGATATTGAGATGTGTTATTTATATGTATCATTTCCATTCAAGGAATCTAAATATTATGTATTGAAAATATGTGCAAAATAAAAAGAGGATCAAAAGATGGGTGAAGGGGAAAGGAAGGGAAGGGAAAGACTATGAAAAAAAGTAATTAGTATATGCTATGTACACACACCAACATACCACAAGGAATGTAAACGTTATGCACTACACACATTCACTAATGAAATTTTGAAAAAGACTATTAAAGATACAAGAAACACATGTAGTTAGGCTGGGCTATCAAATTTAAGATGGTAAGAAAAGAGTGGATAGAAGAAAACTTAATAAATAGTAAAGAAAATAAAAGTCTTTAGGTTAAAAAAAACCAGAAATCTATATTATGCCATACAGTTGCAATAAAGGATTTTTGTGGCCATGAATAATATTGCACACATATATTTGTCAACCATTTAGAACCTTAATATAAAAAGAAGGTACCACATATAGCTTGGACACTCTTAAACCAGAAATTAAAAATGCTAGATGCTCCAAGCTCTGAATTTGTTGAGTGCCAACATGTTGCAACAAGAGTAGAATTCAAACTTGAGTTCATGTGGTGAGTTGCAGTCAAAATGCCATTGAAAATTTTTCATAAAAATCACCTTTAGACTATGTGTACAAGGTACACGTGACATATAAATTTCATCTGACTTGGATTCTCATACCCACTATAACTCATTATATATTTATTCAAATGTTTCAAAATCCAAAAGAAAAAAACACAAAAAACAAAGTATGAAACATTTTTGATGTTAAAACATGTCATAAAAGAGACATTCAAGCCGTTATATGGTATATGCTCATGTGCGTTTGTGCATATGCCTGTTTTAAAAGAAAGTAGTGTATTATGAGTTGTAAGTAGTCAAAAAAATACCCTTACCTCATTAACCAAGAATTGGAGCTGCAAGACTGCTGCACCACTTTCATGTTGGCAGTAACAATCAACACCAGGTCTCCCAAGTCTAACACAATAAAAGTTAAGGATTCTAAATTTTAATTAGCATGGACATCAAAGAGTAGAGCAGAAACAACATTAAAAATGAGGGTCTTGCTTCTTCATTAATCTTAGTTTTTAAGTAAAGTATTGAAAAATCTTAGTTTACAAAATTATATTGCAAAGGTCTTTCATACACTAGAAGTTTGTAAAAAGAATGACTGGTAAAAAAAAAATGAGAAATTTCCTTCCCAAAAGTAAAACAGAAATTATGACTTTATACATATCTCATTTCATTTCAGATTTAACTGACTAAACACTTTTTTCCCTAAAATAATTTCAAGATAAGCCAAATATTTTAATGTAATAAGTGAAATAATGCAACTTATACAATATTTATTTAAGTATGGCAATAACCTTGGTATATACAGAACCCTACCAACCAGAATTTAAAACCCATGAGGCATAAAGAAATATTTGACCATATAAAAATAAAAAATTCCTGCATGCAAAAAAATACTACAAAGATTTTTTTAAGTAGAAATAGCAGGAAAGAACTAGTAACATATTATTAGGAGTCACTATACTAAGAAAGTTAACATAAGAAAGAAAGAAAAGAAAAATAGGGAATATGGAGGTAAGGAAAAAGGATGAGAAAATACTATGAAACAATAATGATTGATACATCCTACTTCAAATTATATGTATTTCTGTGTATTAATTTATCACTTGTTTCTAAGATATAAACTAAATGTTAGTTTTCACTACCATTCATTATGAAGAAACTGTCAGTTTTACCCTTTCATGTAAACAACTAAAAAGTGCAGTAAGCCTTGGTTCAGGAGCATAAATTGTCTGAGAAACTTCACTGCAATCCAAAACACTTGTGTATCAAAGCGAATTTCCCCCATAAGAAATTATGGAAACTCAGAACCCAACAATATTCAAATAAAAACAATTATAAGGTTGTAACATAATGCAAAAAAATAAAAGAAAATATTAGGCATAAAGAAAAATAAATCAGCCTGTATTACTTTAGAAAACTTACATAGCTGGAATTATGAAATTAAGACAGAGGAGGATTACTGTATAGGACAACTTTCACTATAACTATTGTAATCACTGGTATCAACAGGTTAAATGAAATCATTTCTTTTTGTACAACTTTAACAAGAAACCTATTCAAAACACTTGGTTTTGCCTCCTTTTGAGGATTTTACAGAAAGGTGAAATTTCATAATCATTAAAAAACATTCATTGTTTACAATAGTACAGTCTTATTGGTGGGGTGCTTTTCTACAAATTTTGCAGTTTCCCACATTTTACACATTTCCCTAATCCCACCTAAAATGAGAAATTTCTCTGCCTTTTGATCTCTTCTTCTGCAGAGAATAGCTCCTCCATAATCTCTTGCTGTTGGGAGAAAATCTCCCACAATTTGTGGAAGGAAGAGGAGGAAGGGGAGAAGAGTAAAAGAGGGAGGCAGAGAGAGTTGTGATCATATTACATTCCACATCATGCACTACTTCTATTGTAAGACACTGCTCATTCATTAAGTTAAAACTGACTAAAAATGTTTGCGTATCTTGCAGAACACCCACAGAACAAGTTACTTGCAATCCAAGGTTTTACTATATGGATAAAATTCATGGACTATGGTTTTTAGACATTGCATATCAGGTGAGCAATGATGGAGATTACTGAAAGAGATAAATATACATATGTACATATATAGAGAACATATTGTTCCAGTTTACTGCCTAGAGTTTCCAGACCAAAGCATGAGAATGGTTACTCAGGAATCTAGCAGGTTCTCTGTGTTGAGGAAATAGAATTGAGACTGAGAATTCCAAAGACAATTAGGGTTCACAAGGCAGAGTAGTGAACAAGAAAAGGCAATATGAAAAAAAAGCACTTCTGAGAAAGTGCTGAGAAAGCTTCTTTAGCTCTATATTATGACAGGAAAGCTTTGACCAAATCACAAACTAGAGGGAAAAAAAGCCAAGAAGAAAATAAGATCTTCCTTTTGTGCATATGTTTAATTTTACTGATACATTTTAGATATACATAACACTCAGCATAGAGAATTTGTACCTGTACATGAGAATAAACTAACATAAAAAATAAGCTCCTTTTAAAATAAATAAAAGAATAAACCAAGGACAATGAAGTGTTCAAACAAAGCCAGGAATTTTTCTATCATTTTTGAATGAAAACTCAGAATTCACAGAACATCATGCAGTGTATTCAGATGAGTACTGCTTCAGTAATGAAAAAAATTCACTTCTAGAATAAAGGCTGCATTGGTCCTGTTTATAATGCTTAAAAGATAGAGCCAAAAGTAAGAATCACATGATGATTTCTTTAGATGCAGAAAAAGCTTTTGATAAGGTCCAACACTCATTCATGATAAGAACCTTACGGAGAATTGGAATAGATGGTCTTTACCTCAATATGGTAAAGGTCATCTATGACAAACCAACAGCCAGCATCATATTAAATGGCCAAAAACGAAAAGCCTTTACTCTACAATCAGGAAGAAGATAAGGATGTCCCTTATCACTGCTCCTATTCAACATACTACTAGAAATACTAGCCAGGGCAATTAGACAAGAGAGAGAGAAATAAAAGGAATAAAGATAGGAAATGAGGAAGTTAAATTATCATTATTTACAAACAACATGAAACTCTACATAGAAGATCCCCAAAACTCCATTGAAAATCTTCTAGATGTAATAAATAAATTCAAGAATGTAGCTGGATACAAAGGCAATAATACTCAAAAATTAATAGCATTCCTATACACTAACAACAAAATCACTGAGAGAGAAATAAGAGAAGTCACACTTTTCACACTAGCATCCAAAAAAGTGAAATAGTTAGAAATTAATCTCATGAGAGAAGTAAAAGATCTATAAAGGGGAAATTATAATACGCTGAAAAAAGAAATCGAAGAGGATCTCAGAAAATGGAAAGGTATTTCTTGTTCATGGATAGGAATAAATATTGTGAAAATGGCCATTCTCCCAAAATTATTATACAAATTCAATGCAATCTCAATGAAAATACCACTGGCATACCTCTTATATCTAGAGAACTCACTCCTAAAATTTATCTGGAACCAGAAGAGACCTAGAATAGCAAAGGCAATTGTAAGCAGCAAAGGCAAGACAAGAAGCATCACAATCCCTGACTTGAAGTAATACTACAAAGCTACTGTAATAAAATTAACATGGTACTGGAATAAAAACAGATCTGAAGATCAATGGAATAGATTAGAAGATACAACCACAACTACAAACACAATCAATCACCTTATCTTTGATAAAGGGGCCAAATATTTCAATGGAAGAAAAATAGTCTCTTTGATAAATGGTGCTGGAAAAACTGGCCCTCCAGGGCAGAGCAAAGATGGCGGATAAACAACAGCAGGCAACAGAGATAGTATACTTAAAATTCAACATAATACAGCATAGGGAGCCCTGAACAGAGGGAGAGGAATTCTCTCATCCCAAGAAGAAATTAAGGTGAGAAAAACCAATCAAACATACACTTCCGGCCAGCCACACCACCATGCAGCCCTGAGAGCCAGCATAGTACTCACCGCCCCCCACAATGTCATTTTAAAAAAAATTCTGCAGTGATATAAGTGCACCCATGTTTATAGCAGCACAATTTGTAATAGCCACATCTTGGAAATAACCTAAGTGCCCATCAACTGAGGAAAGGACAAAAAAGTTATGGTATTTTTATACCATGGAGTACTACTCAGCTATGAAGAATGATCAGATTGAGATGTTTATAAATAAACGCATGCAATTTGAGACCATACTCATAAGGGAAATAAATCAAACTCACATGTAGAAATACTGTATAGTCTCCCTAGTATAAGAAATAGTAAGAGTACATAAGAGATTATGATAATCGTGATTCCCCATTACATTGCTTTGATGCCTTATAATGTTTTCATTCATTAGTTGGAATGGTTTTATTCTGTTTGATTTGATTTTATGTACAATGGTATGAATAGCTATTTTGAAGAAAACAAGACATTATGGCAACCACTGCTAATTTAATACCATCTTGCTTTGAAGTTTTACCATGCTTTTGTTCTTCTGCTTCCATTGGTTCTATCATGTTGTGTCTTATTGGATTTTTAATATGTGTGATAGTATAAACAAACTTTCTATGGAAAATGAGATAATATAGTAGCTGTTATGGTTTGAGAACTGGTGGTCAACTTAACATCAGCTGGATTACATCAGCATGCATCAAGAGAAGATGCTCCACCTGAGGAGGGATGCCAGGATAAATAGGTGGAGAAGAAGGGAGGTGTTGAGAAGGGTTGAGGTATTAAGGAGGCATTGTGGGTTCTCCTACAAGTTGCTGTCTGAGCTGTTGGTTCTCCTGGAGAAGCTTTGGCCTTCATATTGAGCACTGCTTCCTGGCTCCGGAGGGGAACACATGTGCTACTTGGTCTCCAGGATGAACTCGTCACGCTGCTTCCTGGTACCCGTCACGCTGCTTCCTGGTACTGCTTCACAGTACCCGACTGTGCTTGTCGTCGGAGGAGCTCGGGGCCTCCATGTCGCTGAGGACAGCTGTGGTGCCCTGGTCTTTGTTGTAAGTGTGACTTCTCGGCTCCAGTGTAAAACCCTCATCCCACTAGCACAGCTCCTATATCCTGCTGGCATAGACTTTCTGGCTTCCACCACTGACCCTTGGGTCTTCCCGGCACGGATCCATAAAAGAGACTGGTGTGAGTCCTTCTTGTAGGTTCTGGACCTCCAGCTGGACTCATGGGAGGCACTGTCCTGAGCTCTGGGTTTTTATCTGGACTTATGTGGGATATTGCTTTGGGGTTTAGGCTCTTGACTAAATAATCTATGTCTTTGTTGTTGCGGATAGATTTCCTGCATTTTCCTGTGTTAACTTGTAGTGATCATTATAAAAATATTAAAAACTCCCTGTCCTAATCCTAGTTATTCTCTGTGTACAACCCCTGACTACAACAGTAGCCATTGTTCA